ATAAACGATATGTATCTTAAAACGCCATACTATGTTCTATAATAATAGAAGTGCTGTTTTTAACACTATATTACTTCGCTCGGCACAACGACGCTTCGCTCGGTACTAAAAGAATCTAGAAACCAATTCTCAAAAAAATTCGTTTTTTCTCCGAGTTTAATGAATTTGTATAAAATTGGTCCGAAAGTTCGGAGAATTTTCGGGCCGGGTCGAATTTCCTTTCGAACTTTCGGACCGGCCCGAAAATTCCTTGGGCCGAAATTCCGGTCTCCCAGCGGTATATGGGGGCATCAAATGTTTGGTTAAACGTTTAGTGTTAGCAAATTCGTTATTAAAAACTTGATATTGAATGATTTATGCTATTTAGAATGCCAGCTGATCTGTTTTTCGATGGGTTGAGTAATAATTGGAATATATATGGATTGTTGATTATCTATTCCATAGGCTTATTGTGAGAAAGTTTATCAAATATATGATTGTAATTTGTAAGTGGGATGCCCAGTTTTTTTTACAGCAGATTCACACAAAAAAAATTATGTGAATAAAACAAACAGACATAGACTATGTTTTTTGAATAGATGTTTCATAACAACGAATATCAATCAATTAACTATAAGGAAACGAATAAAATTCATGAAATTTTAATAGTCACGAAATAAGAATGGTTAAAAATGAAAATTATCTATATGTAAATATTTAAAAATAATGCAAAATAAATCATAAAAGCTCGACCAATCAATCATTTAGAATCGCTATAATTACAAAAATTGAATAGAATAGTAAACAAATATTAATTATCGTGTGACTCATGCTATTCACATGCATTCCAAACTCAACTCAATTCCCATGTCAACTGTGCCATATATATATAACCTCAAGAGCACCGTACTTTCAACCATTCTTTCGCAAAATTTCTTACCATAAGTATTCAAAAACCACCCATTCTCGAATATACTAATAGGCGTTGTTAACATCTCTACTCTATAGTTTTTGAAATCACAAAAAAAGAATTGTTTATAACTAAGAATCAGAGACCAAGAATCAGAGTTTTGTCTCAAATTCTCTGGCGAATATGAATACTTTTAAAAGTTTATGAAATATCATGTTCAGTGTGAAAAGAGATTTGAATGTTAGTAGTATCGATTCACATTGATTTCTAGCTAAGCTTGAAAACTTGATTGTACCTACGGTCTTAATTTAATATAAGCCATGTTTTATACTATGCTATAATCTATTGATTAAGTTTATGTTTTTTATATGTAAAAACAGTTTGACCTGTTCTAATGCGTTCCATAAAGCACGACAGAAAGTCTAAGTCAATTCTAGTTTAATTCAAATCCTATTACTTATAAGGTTGCTCTCCAATGTATTATACTATTGGTTAACTTATTCTTATTTTTGAAAAGTTTAATTAACATCAACTTGTACTTTCATAAAAAAAAACAGAATTTGATACATCCATACGTTTTAATCAGTTACTTAGTATGAAGAATAGTTTTGCTAGACAATCACTGTCTTCAGGAAACACTTGGAATTAATCTTGTTCTTTAATCAAATTATTCTCAACTTGCTAAACAAAACGACAGTTCATTCGAACAATTCTTTTATTGAGCATGATAATTCATCATTAATTTTACTCATTTGCCATTTACTTTAAAATGAACAGGAACTTTTTTTAATCATATTCCCATACAATGGAATGAAACCGTTGCAGATTTTTTTTCGTTTATTTAACTTCAATTTATTCCTATGAAAATGTTAAGATGGAAATTAAGCACCAAAAGCTATTTTATTTTCACAAAGGCAACTAATCAGCATGCAACATTGAATTTTTGTCAAGGGATATCACAAATTTGAGATAAAGATGGAACACGATCGTTGATGTTTCTTGACGTACACTTTTTGGGAAACTTATATGGATCAACAAGCGATCCAAATGTTTTACCAAATCCATAAGCAAAATGAAGGCTCGCTATTAAAACAAGCATTTGTGTACCAATGATTAGAGTATATCTTTTGTCATATAACATTTCAATGGGCCGACAAGTAAAGGCAGATATCAATTGATTAGAAATAGATGAACCGACGATCATAAAAAGTGTTGTCAATCGAAGCCGAAAGAGTACTCTGCAATCAGTGATTTGTCTAATACATTGTTGCTTAAACGACGCAACATATAATAAAATACCCACAATCATCAGTAAAAAGCATGTTGCATACAACACGTCAACAGATTTGTCCACCATTGCATAACTTTTGGTATGATTGAGAAAGGTAGCTGACGAAAAACACCATTCTAAATAAAAGTGGTCAACGTTTACGTTTCTTTTCAATTCAAGTTTTTTTCTAATTGCACAGTTTAAATGTGTAATTCAGCAAAATATTTGAAATGTATGTGTGTAGTATGATAGTAGAAATACTCACCAGACTGCATTGAATAAGAATTTTCATATTCTATCAGAGATTTATTATATTTAAAGTACATTAAGTCAACAGTTGTGTTACGTCTGCTCGTTATAAATAATTCAAAGTAGTTCCAGATACATATTGATAATATAACACAATGAACTGAGTACCATTTATCGAATAAATTTGTTATTAAGTTCAACTTGTTTTTCTGCCTAAAAACAAATTAAATGGCAAATTTTTGGGCCATATCATATTAAACTATGCTCAATAACTACATAAATCACTTGGTTCTCAACTCAACGAATTTTAGTATGAAAAAGCTAGAGTTCGGACATCCGACATGAGTCTCACAGAGCTACCACTAGATATGAAATTGAATGGGCTGCATCTTATTCCTGTATAATTGTTCGCTATAGGACCGCAGAAAAATCAATTGATTTCTAAACCTAAAATTTTTTAACTTTTTTCCAATTATGTGTACGATCGATCGATCATAAGATATTCATGATCAAATTTATTATTGACCGAGCGACTACAATAGTAATGCGAGGAGGGTAAGTGAAAATCTGAAAACAGACACCTTTATATAGAAACTTACTGTAATAAATTTTTACTATGAGGAGTATTAAAATGAGACGCCAAATAGTGCAGTCTCATTTTGTTTCCTCTGAATCGTGATCGTCTAGCAGTGTGAACACGGCGTAATACTACCATACTTAGTAATCTGAAAGAGATATCAATAATTATGTTTAAAATGTCATTTTCTTCGCTTTAGAAAACATAGCATCGAATCGATATATACATATAAAAACCTTTTAAAACTTCAAGAGCATTGCCTAAAGGTAAAATAAACTTTTCATAGAATAACCCATGAAGAGTAATCTTCAACTGTGTTTTCAAATTTTTTCATGTTCTCAGCAGAAAATGAAATACACTGACATGAACTTCATGTTAATGAGTATCAATGACCTGCTCATAATTCGACAAAAAGACCCAATGCAATGTGTAATATAGATATTTTTCAAAGAATAATTGCAAAAAATACTAGAATGAATTCTATGAGAAAAAACTTGACGAGCTTTGTGTTTTTTCCATGTTGCAAGTCAGCGAATGACTTGACCCGTCCATGTTGTCAACGACGATAGAAAAAAAGGAAGAAAAAAAACCCGGTCACTTCTATCGTCGTAAGCTTTTTTCTTTTTTCTATATGAAGCTGTGCATTTATATTCCATGTAATTGATTATCTCAAACTGTGCGTCTGTTTTGCACTAGCAGGCTACTTTTTTTTGTAATGCGCATGATTTTGCCCCCTATTTTCTGAATAGTTTGTTTAATATCATATATTTTTTCTATTTCCATTAGTACACTTTTGATTTTAGTATGCTACGAGACTATCAGAATTAGTATTTGGAGATAACTTTTTTTACATAAAGGGCAGAAATTTGATTCAATGGAATGCTTCTAACTTCACAGTACCGAAAAAGAGATGTCGCAAACATTAATTCAATGTCTAAACATTTTATGTTTTCATGGTAGTAAAACGATTTAGGAATATTGCATGTTTTACGTACTTCTGTGTGAGTAACTGCCATGCTGTTAAAAAAATAGATTAGATGTCCGTGTTAATCGACTATCCTGTTTACTAGAAATATCATACACAGCGGACATGGAGGAACTATAGTCTGATACAAAAAAAAAACAGATTAAGTATACTATTCAATCGATTACATGTGTTAGTTTCATCAAGGTATATTAAGCATCACTCATTCTTTCAAGAACTTGTTCATCACTATAGAACGCCTTAAAATGGAGTAAGACAAAGGTTTCCTTTTCGAATTGTATATGATAATCAGTTAATACAATGATTTGGTGATTTCCAATAATTGTTTCCCTATTCTAACATTCCTCTTAGTTTACCTATTGATCAAGTTACAAACACCATTAAAACTAATACAGTCATTTTTTTTCTTGTTAAAGTATGAATACTTACTAGCTTCGGATATTAAACAAATACACAGCATTTGAACAGACATTTTATCATCGATCAACAAATATATATATTAATAAAAGAATAATCAACTACTTTCTTTTAGATTTGATGATGTCTTCACGAATATTATCTAGCACGAAACAACACCAACGAGCTGTTCTACATGTTTATAAATTCCATTATCGTCAAAAAATGACTCGCAGTAGCCAAGACATGTAAGATGCGATTATATTTGCTTTTGCACGAAGTGATGCTACTACATAAACATACAGATAGTACTACGTTAAAGAATTCGGAATAATTTCTTAAGGATATTTATTCTTTTAGAAATGACGGTTTCGACATCTATGGAAGATATATGGTGTTACCGTTTTTTGTTTATTTGCCTCTCCTAATAGTGTTTTTCTGGGGTGAGTTTTGGATTCCAATCATAAACGTGGATCGAAACAAACTACCATCAAAAGTGTGCGATGAATATATCGAACGTACTTATGCTGGTGAGTATACTTATCGAGTAACTCAAATAATCGATATCAGATCAAAATTATAGATCTCCTTAAATACACTCACTGAATTTGATACAATGAAGTCTATGAACTGATTATACCATTAGCGTTTAATAGACTTAGCATTTACACTTGCCTTTCAAATAAAATTTCTATGGATTATGAATACTTGATCACGTTTATTTATTGAAAAATTTGAGAAACTTGTGTCACTACTAAGAGTACACGAGCCTCGATTTCCGTCATGAGATTCTCTACAGTTTTCATGATAATTGGATCCTTTATTGAAATTAAATTCTCATCCACAAAAGTTATTTCAAATGAAAATATAGAACAATGCCGAATTAGATTGTTTTGAGCGTCATGTGATGAGGTGAGTTCGTGAATATCTTAGCAAAACAGTATGTAACAAGTGACAAAACTATAGACGTAATAGAATTGATAAAAAGAAAGCGAAAGATTTGTCATTTTGCTGTGGTTTCACATTTTCATTTCGGATGTATACTCTCCACGATAATTTGACATTAATGAAGGGCCTAAATACCGTAACAATTGAAGCAAGTCACTAATAATCTGCTTTTCAGGTTCATGTTTTTTGATCGCAGAAAAGTACTTACACTACTTATTTCGTGTTACAAGCTTCGAACCTACATGAGCTCTTTTATGCACAATTATTGTCTCTTTTACTTTGAAATGAATTATCATACGAACATGATTCGATGATGACTGATAATTTTTTCATTCTTTATTGACTCATGAAAACTTGTTTATTCGCCACAATGTTCATTAACATGTGTTATCATTCGTAGTCTTGTACGCAGAGTGGTTATTAGAGGATCTTCATATGCGAAAGTTTAGAATAAAATATCTAATGGAGAAGCAGCAAAAGCACATATGTTCGAATCCTCTTGATACATCACCATTAGTCTTGCGGGTTTTACTATGCGTTTCATTTGATTTTTGCTGATTCTATAGCAATTAGTGTTCTTACACGTATTTTTTCATTAATGGCAACTGACTGGATAAAGAGATCAAATAAAATTTTAGAAAATAGTTATAATAATCTTCGAGCTCAATAATGTACAACTTTATTAGCGAATTTGTGTAGAGCATTCACCTAAACTGCCTTTATTTTTATTCTAGAGCGATGTTCACAGTACTCATCTGGCCACGCATTCCATCCATTTATTAACGATCAATTGTTTTGGATCGTATTTTTAATATTCTTCACCCTAGTGTTGTTCATGGCTTTTTGCGGACCTCGTTCACGTCTTGATCCGAAAAAGAATTATTCGAATTTGTCTTTGGGAATATTAATATGCTTGACTATCAGTAGTATATGTGTTCAAATATGTAGTACATTGACATGTCGTCCAACCGAATTAATATTCGATTTTCGATTTCTATCAGTTATTGTCGTGCAATTCACCGGTTTTGTTGCATGTATACTTTTTACTATCCAACTTGGTGCTACATATGCAATGGAAATACCAGTACAAGCTATTACCTATGAAACTTTAATGGCTCGACCCACTTTATCGTTGTGTGATGTTCTAAAAGATCTCATTCTTTTGAGAAGATAATAAATTTGTGTCAGAAATTGTGACTATGTTGCTTCGCACAGGTGAAACCGGAAAATTCATTGATAGTGAAGTTGTTTTGGTTTAGAGGTTTAAAAGAAACAGATATTTGAATTGATTGTTTCATTTCTACAATTTTCATGTCAAAAAAATAGTTCTCAAACGAAAAAGAAATAATCAGGATAAATGGGTGATTCTATGGTTTCATTGGTATGCTGTTTTTGTCCAACTCTCTTGAACTATATATCAAGTCGAAGAGAATATTGAGGCTGATGGTTTAGCTGGAGTCTCGAGAGTTTTCAATTGAATTTCTTTAGTTAACAGGTTAGAAGAACCTAATGCGTATTCAATTATCAATCTTAGAATCAGCTTTATTACGATGGATTCAACATGAGAACGAATTGACAAGGAAACACGAAAAGCGGATTACAAATTCGACTCGACTTGGATTCCACGTGAAAAGTCCGAATAGATTGTTTTATTCTACCAGATATAGATGCATCGATATTCGAAGAGACACTATTACCAAATTTAATGTATCTATCATTTACATATACAAAAATAAAACGAAATTCTGAGATTTCTGAACGGAGGATAACATACACGAGTCAGAGTATTGACCCTTGCTTTAACTGATTCAGCCAAGAATTAGAGAAACATCGCAGAGAATGTTCATTATTCAGAAGTGAATTGGAATTCTTGATGTTTCTCTTTTGTTGATTTTTTTCTAAAGACAAAGATATTTATAGAACAAAACGTCATGTTGATATCATCTTTAGTCGTTTAGATCTATGAAAAGTACTTAGTCAGCATTGTTCTTATTTAAACTAATAAATTTTGAGTTCCACCAATGAATACTTCAAAATAGCCTTTTACAAATAAAAAAGCAGGCATTGAAATTTGGCAAATTTTTTACTAGTAAATAGTATAGCATTTTGATCCTGAATTAAACTTGAATCTCGAGTTTTTCAACATAAAAATTTGTATCTTTAAAAACGTTTTTGCTTCAGAGTCAGTTTTTTTCCACTGATTTCAACAACACACTAAAAGAGCTAAAAAAGATAATACTAGAAAAGAAAATTTTTACTTTTAGTATCAAATACTTAGAGCTATTGTGAAGAGTTTCACGAATATGAAAATATAGGGTTATCGGTTATAATAATATATTAAATATTATTGTCACATGTCAATATAAGTCGCTAGTCCATTTAAGAACTCAATCAAAAAACACAGTTCAAGTCATATTCGTGGATTGAGCTTCTTATAGAAAATAAAAATAATTTCTTTTTGTAATTACGAAAGTGCACTATCACATTTATATTCATCGATTTCAATACTTAAGCAGTTTTTAGGTTTTAAAGTCAACAGTTCTTTTAGTTTCATCCTTCAAAGCTTTCTCAATGTAAAAAATTCATGTGTTTACATTCAGATTGCCTAGTATTATCTTTTAGTAAAGAATGAAAGAAAAGAAAACATTTAGCTTTCCAATATTGTATTTTTCGCACGCGACATGACTTTTCGTTCGCTCATTCTCTATTTCGGTCGTCGACATCTTCTGTTTATTATTTCCACTGTATGTT